TGATGATTTTGGCCATGCTGGCAAAGGCAGCACATCTTGCTGCATTACTGTGTCTCCATCTTTAAACAGGAAAAATTAAGCACATTGAATCTTCTTAGGCTCCCATGCAGCTTTTGATGTGATGTTATGAGGAAAAGTATGAACTAAGCTGGAGATGATGGAATTGGCAAAGGGAACATGAGGTGAACAAGAAACTGAATAAAGGTTAGATAGTCATACATCATACTGAAAATGAATAGTATCAGGTTAAAAGTCACTAATGGTGACTTCCTGAAATATCAGTCTTTTGGCTGATTTAGTTAGTGTTTTTACAATACCCTTGACATCAATCTGATGACAACATTAAGTCAGGAGATGTGACACAGGGGGAAACAAAATGACCATGCCTGTGAGCAACAGGCATGCAAAGTGGGCTAATAAAAACAATAAACCCTTACAGAATTCTCATATTATAGTCAGTTATTTGGAAACCATTGAGGAAAATCAGTGGAAGAACAAATGGTAAGAAACCATTTCTGAGAGGAAAATGCAACCATAATCCTGGGATATACCAGGAAAGTTCCAGGAAAGTGGCAGCTAATTCTGCAAAACATCAGTGAGGCATTACCTGGAGTAATCTGTACAAGTCACATGCAGGGTGAAGTCAGACTTGAATCCACATGCGGAAAGTCTAAAAGAGTGGTAAGAGAAATGAAAATAGTATCCTATGACAGGAAACTTTTAAGAGCACGTCTTTCTTAGTCAAGCAAATCAAAGGCTGATCAGAGCCTTTCTTTGTCTACATATCCATCAAGCAAAAACTATGAAAAGAAACGCTTCAGCTTTCGTATTTGCCAGAAAAGTATCAAACGTATCACCACCATGTTTAGGCTGGGAATTACAAGGTTTCTAATAATTAGAGTACTGAAGTGGCTTTTCATTAGAAATATGGATGGAAAGAAACCTAGCTACTCTTAGGAAGATGCTTTCTCAGTTTAAGGAAGAGATTATATGATGTGGTTGCCTGCTGAACTACATAAAGAGATCTCTTCGAGACCTCTCTTAGCAGTTCTGTTTCTGCAGTGGTGTTTTCCTCGTGGCTCCACTCCCTCAAGTGCACTGAAAAAGGAGCATTCATGGGTCCAGCACGGGCCTAGGTTTACTTCCGCGACATGGAGGGGCAGACACAGACCTGTTTGAGAAGTTTACAATTGAGACTTCTGAGGGCTGACAGGCAGCTAGGAAGTTACGGGTTAAGCATCACTGCATGAGAGGAAGGGCACTGAACTCCAAATGGGATAGAGCCGTACAACATAGTGTAAACAAATGGTTATGATTCCTGTCAAGAACAATTTTTCATATCTCCATAAAGCCTGGTTTAATAACATGGCACAGGCACCACTGATAATGGGAATATTAGTTATCCAACAATTTCCCAAAATTGAAATAGAACCTGTTTTGGCAAAAACAGTACAGTTTTCTACCAAGAAAAACATTTTAGCTAGTTATATAAGCAATAAAAATAAATGTTTTATAAAATTCACCCAGAAGGACTTACAAGTATTAAACCCTCCAATAATAATTAACCAGATTTCATGATGTATGAAACAGCCAAAAGTAACAGCCAGTACAGCTGAAGATGGTGAAGTCATTTCTTCTACTTGCACTCCAAAGCCTGACCACCCGTAGAGATTAAAAAAAATATATCCAAAGAATTAATTTTCCTAATATGGACACAGTGCAAAATTCTGTCTCTTAACATGACTTCATTTTGCCGAAGTAATGGAATTTTATGCAAGCTTAATATGTTTTACAAGTACTTGCTCCTCTAGTGTAGCAGCAAATCATTGGGAAGACAGATGAAATGAGAGAGTATCTTACTGAGTTTCCTTTCCCGGTTAAAAAACTGGCAGTGTCTCCAGCCAGGCTTCTGCTCACTACTGCCCCTTGAAGCAGCCTGTCATGCTCCACTGATGATCGAGATAGTTTATGAAAAGCAGACTTTAATTGAGATTAATTTAACCTCTGTCAGAACCTACTGTTCTGTCAGAAACATGATAATCCTACTCTGCCAAGCAGCAGAGTGTGATTATCAGGAAAAGGATTTTCAGTAAAGGAAACCATCAACATCTCACAGGCTAAGATCTTGTTTAGCCTGTATGAGGACACTATGCTGAAAGACACAATAACTCCTATCAGAACAGGTTTCACGAGAGAGCATGATAAGGACATAAATTAGGAGGCAACAACAGATAATTCTGTTGGCAAAATGGTTGATAGGTTATGACAACATTTCATATGGGGGAATAAATGAAGGGAAAAATAATGTCTTAAACTCAAAGGTCATACAAGATCAGGACCATAAATAAATTTACTCAGGAAATTGAACTTTTCTAAACTTCTGAGTTTCTAGAGTTGCTTTACATGCTAGACAGTGGACCAAGACACCTAAACTACTTTAAGATAAAGCTTGATGCTTTCATTTCTGTGACAGGACACAAAAGTGATCCATGGGTTAAAACCTCATCTTTGGATCTCTGATTATTAATCTCTGGATATCCAATTGCACTGATTTACCCCAAAAGACTGGACCTGAAGGACGCTTACTACTGACTGATCATAATTCTTTGCATATATTTCTGGTATATTAATTACGAATCTCTGTAATTTCTGTTGGCTACTTGAAAAAGCATTGGCTTTGATGTGAAAGAGTAGCACATTGGTTTGACTTGGAAACGTACAGCTAAAGGCAGATGTAAGGCAGGATGCACTACTACTGAATTTTCAGCTAAATTTTCCAGATACCTGGCTGCTGAGCTGGTGTCCAACAGTTAGGTCAGGTAACACCAGTCATCGCACCTGCAGCAAGAATGGAACTTTGCCCTGCTGTAAGACTCCCAGAGATTCAGCGGTTGTTGCTATGTTGTTTGGGGTTTTTTGTCTTCAGTGTGCAGGAGCAGTCCTTTCCCTAAGAGAATTTACCCAAACAAATTTCTTGTTACTGCAAGGACTGAGTATATTGACGAAATAATTTTTTTCCTCACATGTTTCTGTGGTATAGATAAACTATGAATTTTCAGGACAACGTATCTATTTCACAGTTCTTTTCAATGGAGGATAAAGGACAAGACCCTCCCATGAAGCATGAACTGCCTTTCTGTGTTCTCCTGCAAAACTAACCTATGGCAGATACAGGAAAAAACAGAATGTGCCTAGCTTCAAAATGAGTTAGCTGCGTTTACAAACTATGAGCAACTCAGAAATCAAGTTCTTCTATAGGAATAGAAGATACCCTCTGTTTTATAGAGGCCACTTACAGTTGCAAGTGAAAAATGGAAATTGGTTATCTTTCCCTAGTTCCAGAGCCAAAACTGGAGGCTAGCCAACAAGCAACAACCCCAACCTTTAAATATACTTAAATCATCAAAGGTCAATCTACTGGATTACTCGTGGGGTGGTTTTTTGGGGGTTGGCTTTTTTTGTTTGTTTTTTTTGTGTTTTTTTTTTTTGTTTGTTTTTTTCCCTTCTTTTCCAAAACTTATGTTCTTTTAAATTATTACAAAAATAATGTTTTAAGATTCTGGCCTGTTTAGTTAACATCACCTTTTATTGACTGAGAAATTCATCTCACTCTCAGAATTTGAGTGATCAGTGCATTGATACGTGAACTCAGACATTTTATGGGAATTAGAACTTGTACACCCCTCCAGCTTCTGATCAGAATTTGTTTGCTTGCTTGTGTTTTGTTGTGTAGAGCAAATCATTAATCTGATCAGTGCCCTGAAATTTCCCCTCAATGCATAGTTCTGCAGACCTAATTTTTGTTTGAATTCTGGAGTTCATAGGGTTGGGCCTGAGGATGCTGTCAGGTGTTGCTGGCAAAAAATCGTAGAAACATAGCCTTTTGTAACTGGAAAAAAAGAGCTTCATCTGAGTATTGATGTCTTTCCCACGTGTGCTTCACTGCAGGACTGACACTTAGAAACTTCCTCAGCACCTCCTTTTGTTTGGCTTTGTGTTAACTTCATGTGCAGAGGTGTTACTTCTCATGAAGGAAAAGCAGTCAGTTTGGGAAGCTGAAGCAAAAACAGTAAGCAAGAGTAGTGGGTCTTTCACATCAGTCTTCATGGGCAGCTGGGCAGCAAAGGCCAGAGGCATCCTGGCGGCCAGCAGGGGCAGGGCAGTGATTGTCCACCTGTACTGGGCACTGGTGAGGCTGCACCTGAAATCCTGTGTTCAGTCCTGGGCCCCAAGAAAGACACTGAGATGCTGGATTGGGTCCAGAGAAGGACAACAGAACTGGTGAAGGGCCTGGAGCATAGCTGTGATGAGGAGCGGCGGAGGGAACTGAGGTTGTTTAGCCTGGACAAGAGAAGGCTCAGAGGGAACCTTATCGCTCTCTACAGCTACCTGAAAGGAGGCTGTAGTGAAATGGGGTTGGTCTCTTCTCCCAGGTAGCGATAGAACAAGAGGTAATGGCTTCAAGCTGCACCAGGGGAGTTTTAGATTGGGTATTAGGAAAGATTTCTTCACTGGGAGGGTGATCAGGTATTGGCACAAGCTGCCCAGGGCAGTGCTGGAGTCACCATCCCGGAGTGATTAAAAACCCGCGTACATGGTTTAGGGTGGGCTTAGCAGTGCGGGGGTGGACTTGATCTTCAAGGTCTTTTCCAACCTAGCCCGTTCTCTGATTGTGCTGCGGGGATCGCCACGCACACCTGAACTGATGACAGTGATGGGCTCTAAGGTCCGATCAGCTGCACCGCTACGACGAAGTTTAGCGATAGAAAGCACCGCCCGTGGCGGTGCTCACCGGAAGTGACGGCACAGCTCACTAATAACGAGGCCGCAGCGACAACCGCCGCAGTTGGCGCGGTCAGCACTAGGGCGAGCCGAGGCCAAGCCGGCGCCATCGCATTGGCGGTGTCAGCGGCGCGGCTGCTTCGGCTCTCCCCTTTCCTGCCCTCCGGGAGCCCGCGCAGGCGCACCCCGGGGTAGGACGGGACGGGACGGGACGGGACGGGACGGGATGGGATGGGATGGCGACGTCCTCGCTCCCGACACCGCGGTACGATCACGTGGGGCCGCACGGGCCCTTCCGCGATGTGTATGAGCCGGCCGAGGACACCTTCTTGCTGCTGGACGCGCTGGAGCAGGACGCGGCCCGCCTGAGGCAGGCCCGGTAGGCACCGCGGGGAGGGGCGGGAGCGGCCCACGGGAGGGGGCGAGGCGAGGCGAGGCGAGGCGAGGCGGTCCCGTCCGTCGTCCCTCCGCGGGCTGTTGGCTGAGGGGAGCGCGGTAACACCGCGTCTGCCGCGCTCCTCAGAACGGCTTCGGGCTCTGTTGGTTGTCCGTAGGGTGGCGCTTTGGGGGTAACATACGAGCAGCGTGCAAGGGCTGCACCGTATTTCAGTGGCAGCAGCACGTATTTGAGTATTTCAGCTCTGGGGCCTGGAGGACTGGAGCACCTCTCCTGTGAACACAAGCTGAGAGAGCTGGGGTTGTTCAGCCTGGAGGTTCCGGGGAGACCTTAGAGCAGGTTCCAGTGTCTAAAGGGGCTTTCAGGGATGCCGTAGAGGGACTTCATCCCCTTCAGGGATGCCGTACAAGGGCATGTAGCGACAGGACAAGGGGTGATGATTTGAAACTGAAAAGTGTACATTTAGATTAAATATTACAAAGAAATCATGTACTATGAGGGTGGTGAGACATAGCAGAGGTTGCCCAGAGAAGCTGTGGCTGCCCTACCCCTGGCAGTGTTCAAGGCCAGGTTGGAGGGGGCTTTGAGCAACTTCCTCTAGTGGAAGGTGTCGCTGGCCGTGGCAGGGGGTTGAAACTGGATGCGCTTTAAGATCCCTTCCAATCCAAACCATTCTGCGATTTTTATGAATGTGGTAAAACGCTTGTGTCCCAACCCCAGTGAAGCTGTAGGAGTTGTGTAGCTGCTCGGGTTGCTGCCCAGTGTCAGCAGCTGAAGTATGCCTCTGTAACTATAACCACTACAGAAATCGCCCAAGGAGTTAATGTTATGAGTGGTTATTTTGAAACTGCCTGCCACTGCTGTTTGCTCAGAGCTGGCTGAAACTCTTATGAGGTATTCTGCATTTGAGTCCTGCTTTAGTTGTGTGGCTTCGTAGAATAGTTAGGGTTGGAAAGGACCTTGAGATCATCTAGTTCCAACCCCCCTGCCATGGGCAGGGACACCTCACACTAAACCATATCACCCAAGGCTTTGTCCAGCCTGGCCTTGAACACTGCCAGGGATGGAGCATTCACAACTTCCCTGGACAAATCATTGGAGGTGTTCATCAGTTTCTGTTGGAATTCAGTATTGCTGCAATAAATCTGTACTAAATGCTGTAGAAATGTAGCCTGTCCTGTTGAGATTGTGCAGTTAATGGAAACTTTAATGTTAGTAGGCATGAGGGAAATGTTATCACAGGCCACTTTGGGAAACACATAAGGAATTGTCTGTATGGTCACCAAGAGGCCTGAAAAACACTGTGGAACAGGCAACAAGACGTGGGCTTTGACATGTCATAGGCTTTGAAGTCTGTATGATAAATATTTCAGCACATAGGATGGCATCAGGATTTTTAACACTGCCTTGACTAATTCTGCATCTGTTGTAGGTGGTCTTATACATTACAAATAAGTCATCCAGAGTCTTCTCTCTTTAGAGTTGAGATCTGCCTTGAAATAGGATCTGGATCTGGTGTGGTTTCGACATTTGTAGCTTCCTCCATTATTGGATCCAGTGCACTGTATATGTAAGTATAATAGCACTTAAACTGCTGCATGCACTAATAAACAATACTTAACCTTTACATATATACTTTCCATTTTTACATTTTAAAACCCGTTCTTTTCACAAAGCAATATCAGTTCAATTCTCAGGTATGGAAATCAAAGCAAAGCAAGCCTAAACTACTTACTTCAGGTTCTTTAAGTAGTGGTGCCACTAGAATTCCATTTTCCCACTTCTGAGACAAATTGCTAAGTTTACTATTGTGTTCACTTAGTTAAATTCTAAATTTTAGCCACTGACTAGAGTTACTAAGGTATGATGACACGACGTTAGTTATGGATGCTGGCAGTAACAGAATTTTATGAGAGACTTGTATGCATATGTATTTATGCAGAGTTAGCATTGAAAAACAGATCCTGCACTTCAGCTTTCATACAGTCATTGAAACTTCCAGCATAGTGTTGAGTGGTTTAGCTGCTGATACATTGTGTGTATTTTACTGGTTATTTTTTGCTATGGACTTGAAAAGTAAAGGATGTTTTCATTGGGAGTACATAAATCAGCATATGGTTCACGGTGATGTTACAGTACCCAAATATAGTTCCCAGTAACTTAGACTTTGTAATATTTTGCTTCTAGATGCACAGATATCAACCCAATGGCAGCTTACTGTACATTGGAGACAGCTCTGCTTAACAACGTTCACCTTCAGCCAGTCATTACTGACTTGGTAAGATGTTTCAGTAATATCTTTATAGTTTTTGTAATTTTTTAATACTTATTAGGGATACTGAAAAGTAACTGTGGCCTGGAACAAGCATTCTCTTAAAAAGCACAGACGTAAAAAAGAAAACAATAAAATTCAAAAGTGTTTCTGAAAGAAGGGAAAACCAAACTGCTTCAGCTCTAAAATTCAAATTTAAGCTTTAAAATTTCATTGAATTAATTTTAAAACTTAATCATGTAGATATAGTTTGGAAAGTCTTGCACAAGGAACTCTGCAGTGACCTGAAATTATCATAGCTCTTTCTCTAATATGATACATTTCTTAGTTCTTGGCTCTTTCTGACTTAGTTAGGAACTGTGTATGTTGTTACTTTTTCCTTACAAAACTTGATATGGAGAAAAGCTAGGTTGCTCATCACTTTGGCAAGATGTTTGTTTAAAATACCCTAAATATCTGTGTTTATAAAAGATAATGAAGATAGGCAACAACAAATGTGATCTAAAATGGATGAAATACTGCTCATACTTGAGAAATGAACTGCAGTTGTCACCGATTGGTAATTTTGGGTAACAAATATTAAGCAACGATAACTTAAAAATTCTTTTATATCTGACTTATCTATCTAATTTTGTGTCCACGTATGTGTCTCTTTCTCTTCTACATCCCATACATAACATACTCTTTAAGATGACTGAAATGTTCTGCTGTGCATGGATACTTCTTCGTGATGCTTCTCTTGCACTTAGAAAGTAGAGCTCAGTGTTCCAGAGTCAGGCTGAAATGCTCAGAATATCCAGCATTATGTAACTGTATTTTTACAAAATGCTTGCATTGTTTCAAAAAAAAAAAAAGGGAAAATTAACAAAAGAACCTTCAACTCATCTACAGGTCAAAGGACTGTCTCCAAGATTAAATGGGAAGGTTGATCTACTGCTATTTAATCCACCATATGTGGTGACACCTTCTGAAGAGGTAGGAAAAATTGGAAATACACAATAAAAATGATATTTCTACTGTCGGAGGAGAAATGGCAAAACAAATACACTCTGCTATGAAAACTGAAGGGGTTTTATTTTTAAATAATAGAGGATGTTGTAGGACCAGCACTCTTCTAACAGCACTGTTGTAGTGGAAATTATTTACTGGAGTTGCTTATAAAGACTACGTGGGAATAAGGATTGCTAGCTGCTGCTTCTCAAGACCTAGTTTCTCCATCAAGTATAAACTGTGTAAGACTTTTGTTAGGCATGCTAAGGCATTCCCATTGAGAGACTTTCAATGTAAAATGCACTTTTTCCCTGCAAAATATCCTCTGCTTCTGCAGTCACTATTCTCAGAATTTGACCCCAAAACACTTAAAGGGTTATCTGGCCACCTTCCATTTGGCAAACACACTCATAAAACATAACAAGAAAATATGTAAAAAGCACATGACAAAATGTAGCTCTTTTAATCCAGTTTAAGAGTAGAATTTGAAACAGAAATTGTGTGTTCATTGTGTAAAAGGTAGTCTTGAAGTAATTTTGCTGCATATTATGTATTAGCATGCTTCAAGCTGAAACATTATCACTCTGAGCATACACTAATCTGATGAATTAAAGCTGACAGATTTCTAATGGCAGACATCCAAAACTAGAGATTACGGTAATGTTTCTCTTCTGAGTGACCCTTCTATCATTCTGTATTGTGACAATCTTTGCCTTCATTCCTTCTAGGTGGAAAGCCACGGAATAGAGGCATCCTGGGCTGGTGGCAAGAAGGGCAGAGAAGTAATGGATAGAGTTTTTCCATTAGTACCAGACCTACTTTCACCAGAAGGATTATTCTACTTGGTCACAATTAAAGAAAATAATCCAGGTGATCGCTTTCCTTGGACCATTAAATGTGCCAAACCAGATCTAACACTATATTAAATCAAAATGTTGATCACTGCAATGTTCTCCAGCTTATCAGACTTCAGTAAACAAGAAAAAGTTGACTCTAACATGTGGTGACAGCAACTAATTCAAGATTGACAGCATGTATTGACATTCATATAGGTGGTTTAGGTCCTCATTTAGAAATGCTGTAGATGACCATATCTGCCTGCTTCATAAAGCCCATGGCATCTCTGTGAACTTGTGCTTCTCGTCTTTTAATTTCATGTGGGTGTCTAATCTACAGAGGGACTTTTACATAAACTGATGTCTCTTGGGAGTCCTTTTCCTGAATTCATAGCTTTTGCATCCAGTACATGGTGAGCTAGACCAAATATATAAGCAAATTTACCAAAAGAACACCCTAACTTTGTTTGGAAAATGGTATTGTGTAGGTCCTGACCCCAGCAGGGTCAGGGCCCCACACTCAAGTGTGGGCTTCAGTTCCACACTTGAAAGGTGACTGTAAATCTTAAGAACTAAGTATAAGAAAGCCAGGCCCATCCTTCCTTGTCAAAGAGAATGATGGTGTGAACTTAAAGGGCAAGAGCCTTCAGTTGGGTGTGATGTCTTTCATTTTGGCAGGCATAGAGAAAAGGTGCAGACTTGTTTCTTCTAATCTAGTGCTTAATGGCTATGCATTGTTTTAAGAAACACTGTTCTTTCACATCCTGTAGATTGGGCAGCTTTTGGGAGAAGGTGCTACAAATTTTATTTTCTTCTACAAATTAGTTTCATAACTGAATTGTTTATTGCTATTAATACCAAATACAGAACTTCAGTTAGCAAATTGTGAACTTCATTTGTTCTTGGTTGAAGACTATTTTGCATAAGACTTAGCGACAGCACAGTTTATAATCTTTGTTCTACAGCTTATGTTCGGTAGATACTTTAGCACTGCCTTTTACAGCTGCTTTCCATATGAACTCAATTGTAATGCTACACTTTTAATTACAGATGAAATCCTGGAAACAATGAAGAAACATGGCTTAGAAGGCACACGAGTACTTTCCAGACAAGCAGGACCAGAGATGCTTACTATCCTCAGATTTAGGAAGTCACTGATAACTGCTCTTCATCTGCCAGACACTAGACATGCAGAAAGCTGAACACAAGAGAACTGAAGTTGCCCAATCAGATTTTAAGCCTAGATTTTCCATCCTCTTGAAGAGTATCTTCACTTCCTGATTACTGCAGTGAAACTGATCAAGATGCTGTATTTATTTTTATTCTGGATGTCAACCAGCAATTGTTGGCTGTCAGAGGTGTAGTGGTTCTCTAGCTATCCACAGGACAGTTGAAGGGCAACTGTGAAATACCCTGCCTTGTTGTATTTGCACTTCAATATTGAAAACTGTTTCCTTTATAAATAGGTATTTGTATATTTTGTCATTGTGGCTTATTAAAATAATTTACTTGATATAATTCTTCCAGATTTAATATAATATCTTTAATATATCCTTTTAATAGCTTGCTATCTATGCCTGTGCTGGATTTGAATGAACACTTAGAATCAGTGTTACTTATTTTGATGTGGCATCGGATACTTTTAGAAGTCTAAGGCACAGTTACTGAGTTTCCTGCACTTGCAAGGAAACTGTGTACTTCTGAACAGTAAGCATATATCAAGAGCTAAAGCAAAAGCAAGCTATTACTCTCCTGAAGTCTTATGGGCAACAGTGGGGTGATTGTGCTCCCTCTTCTGTCATTTTACAAGGAGGGTACTGCTGTAGATTACATGAAAAGTTCTCATCCATGAAAAGGCAGTAATAGGGGAAAAGGAAGAGATGCTATAGAACAGGCTGGTTACTGGGTAGCTGAAAACAAGGACTTTAGGTAGACAAGTGGAGTGAGAGTCCTCCCTCAATCACTGTCCAAAATGGGAAACTATTTCCTTACCACTGGATCCAGATGAAGAGCTTTCCTCTGCAGTTTCTTCCTCCTCCTGCTGCCCACTGAATGTTCATGTACAGAGGTGCCCCAGCAGCATATATGAGATGTGTGCTGTGCAGTGGGCACAGTCCAACAAGGAAGATGTTTTGCTCACATGCAGCACAACGGCAGAGACAGTCGTGTATGCAGCACCATTGCTAATACATTGCAATACTAAACCAATCCTCCCTATGCCCTTCACCCCCCATATCTTCTCAAAACTATTCCCTAGCGTTGCCTGGGAGAATGCTTTCAGAGACACTGACCTTTAACAATTTGTGTCAAGTGCTGTTTGATAAACCATCAGCTAACTCTTCTATAGGGACCAGGGTCACAAGAGGTTTCCTGTAGAATGCTGAGGCACTGAAGAGACTTCCATTTCAGACCAAAGAAGTGAACTTACGACTCTTGTGCTTACCCAGCTTGCACAAACATTAAAAGTTCTTCCATGCTTTGAATTGACCAAAAACCTTAACTAGGACACTGAAAAAAGAAAGTTTTGAACAGGAAGAATAAAACATGAGAAGTGTTAAGTGCTGTTAGCAAAAACACATGACTATAAACCTAGCTAGGCAGCTTGAGATTTTTTAGTGCAAAGAACATGAGAAGCTACCTTCCACTCCAGACTTGTCTATGGACTGTCAAAGTTGAGGAACTGGGGAGGAACTTTATGACCATCTGAAGTAACATGTTTCCACAGTTTTCCACTGAAAACTTTAAGCAAAGTTCTGTTCTTGCAGCTTAGCAAGTAGACAACGCTCCAGAGTTGTATTTCAGTCTGCTTCCTACTTCTAGGACCTGACTTAATGGCAGACCCTTTGCTAAGCAACACTTTTTTTTTGGTTTAGTTTTCCCTTACAAAGCTGTAAGGAGAAGAGGTTTTATGCTTAGTGATTTTACTTTGATGTAAATCATGGCTTTTAAAGTAACAATCATAGCTGCAGGGCTGTTTGAACCAAAACACTATCATCCTTACACCACTCTCAAAGTTTTATGTTAACCACTTTGGCTAGCAAAGTTAAGTTGCTGAGCAAAAGTCATAACATCAAAAGACGATTTTTAAGAGGGAGTCAAAACATTTAATGGACTAAAACTACAGGTTTAACAAAGAGTTTAATTAATGTCTAGTTATAACTAAAGAATTGGTTTTAAAAGGTAATCAAAGATAAAACCAGGCAATTATCTGGCACATACTGCAATGCTCAACAGTGTGTGCAGTTTTAAATTATAAAGAACAGAATAATGAAGATCAGAACAGAAACTAATAAAATGTAACAAACATCCTTTCCCCAGAACATGATTGCACTGGGCTATCTAACAGCTGGATATTTGGACAAAGAAATACAAGCATCCAGTTCAACAAATCGTAAGTTCAATTTTCCTGGCCCCTCTCTACTGCTGTCTGCTGCAACTCTGGAGTTTTAGTGTCAGTAAAAATGAAAAACTACAGCTTGCTCCTTAATCTGTGTTTCCAGTTAGAACTTTTCAGTACCAGCTTTAAAGCCTTTCCATTCTGTCTTTCTCAAAAACTCTGAAGAAATTTCTCCTCTGGAACGTCAGCACTACCTGTTAAAAATACAGACTTATTAACAGCTAAAACTCATTTCTAGAGCTTCCACGTCAGAAGGGACCAACTTGTTATCTTAAAATCTATATTATTAATTTCTGAAACTTTATCACACAAACTAATAGAAAACAATCCAGACACTACACAGGTCGATTAAAATTTATTTATTCCCTCCCTTTTATTCACTTTTCAAAAGATATCCACCCCAAATACCATTCAACTTTGAATATATTAGTATACTACTGCTGTTTAAAAAATAAACAGCATGGAAAATGTATAGTTGGCAACAATATTAAGTTTTGATACATCTGTCATATTCACTTGGAGTCCTTGTAATTCTGGGACAGTGGAAGTACGGTGTCCATTCAGTGATAGCTACTTTGCCAGATAACGAAGACATCAACTAAAACAGTAAGAACTGATAGGTGCATATGCCTTCTCTTTAAAAGCCAGTTGGCAATAAATGAGTAGCATTTTTCATTGTCATGCAGGAATGATTGTATTCTACTTACTTGGGCTTTCTGAGTTTTTGTGGTTTTAGGGTGCTGGATGGTTAAGGGATTTTTGGAAAATGAGGCTGTTAAAGGTGAAAGCTCAGCATACAAGCATGTTAATTTAAAGCATCCTATGTTTAAATTTTATGCTTTAACTGAAGACTATCACCCTAGATCCATGCCTTCATGTCTAACAGCAACAACATTCTTTTTTCCCCGTAAAAGGAACTATTATGAACACACTATAACCAAAACTCAAGGGTTTATACCACCTATGTTAAATTCACCTGCTATATTAAAAGGCATGAGCTGGGTTAAGTGCCTGACACCGTGTTAGAATACATCTAAAATAAGAGTTTTTAATCAACTATGTTGTGGCTTAAACACAACTTTTGAAACATAACTGCATTATTTCCAAACTTTTAATATATCTCATCTTAAAAATATACACATTAAAATAAATTATTCTTAATATATTTCTTTATATCAAAGAAGAATCTTCAAACTTACAAAAACAGTCCAGAGGTAAATACGTGTCATATATCCCACTAGTCAAAAATTTAAAGTAACTGACATTATTTCCAAGTAGTTAGCTTCTTACAACAGTTTTTTGCCATCTCTTCATTTATTACTTAGCTCACAGAAAGGAGAATGTTTTAATTCAGAAAAATGTCTCTCGACAGAGTGGACAGGTGGATTTGTTGCTCGATGTGAACCATTTGTACTGAAAGAGAAATACAGTAGTTTAAGACACACATGCAAGCTCTCAGGAATGACAGTTTAGCACCAATAACCACCATTATTCGCCAATTTTTATAATTATCAAAGCATTAACTGTACTTTAAAAAGACCAAATAAACAACAACAAACTGTAAAAAGACCTTTCCACTTCTGTATGTATGCATGTGTACATATAGATACACATGTATTTATATATAGACATCACACACATATAATACTAAAGTCTTACTCTAAAAAGCCTGACACAAAGGAATTTTCATCCAGTCTCGTATTAGAATAAAAAGCTAGCATTTTTAAAGCAGCAATGATCTCTCCATTTCATGTCCATACAGGTGCTAACCTGTTCCAGTATGCTCTGTACAGCTACTGCCTACAATGACTTGGGTATAGTTAAATGTTAATTGTCCACATCAGTATTGTTTACTAAAGAGCATGCTGCACAAATTAAATTTAACCTTTTCCATTCCCATATTGGTGTGGATAACAGCGAGATGCTGTTGCTACACCCTATGTAGATGTAAGGCTTATGTCTTAGTGAATGTGAAATGGATCATTATCGTCTGTGAAGTGTAGCAACCCCTCTCTCATTACATGCTCTTACATCTTATTACAAAAGCCATACAAATAACTCATGAGTTTAGTTAATCCCTGATACTCCAATAACACAACAGAGAACTGATAGTATTACAACAGAATTTCCTGGTTCAAACTACAAATGGATATTTTGCCTATTTGAAAGATTTAGCCTAGGTACTTACCAAGCAAGCTGAATGAAACTTTTTCTTGCATGTTCTGCAAGCTTTTTTGGGAAGTGAATAGTTGGAACCATGAATGACCGAAAAGCAGATCATGCAATCTTCAACACCCTCAAAACGTTTGTCCACGTTATTTTTCCACAAAGACAATCCTTCCATAATACTGCCATTCTAACAGAGGAAAAAGAGCTATTAATACTGCAGAATTCCTTCACAGTATTCTTACTGTTATTCATAAGCAGATGAAGGAAACAAAGCCTGAAGGCTTTATCTGAAATTATATGCAATATGTGTGGTGAATAATTTATAGAGCAAATGCATGAAATACAGATGAAAGTCTAGTCTATAGAAAAGCAATGAAAGGAATGCACTTAGAAGCACTTAAAAGGGGATTTTAAAATTTTCAATCACTGTTTTGTTCTAACCATAGATGATGCAACTTCAGCAATCACCAATCTTTTACAGAATTTCGTGTACTGGGTTTTGGGTTGGGTTTTTTTTTCCTTCCTTCAAATGATAGTTGAAATGGAATTGCCACATATAGCAGACACTGGCCCATGTCTTAAAGGATCTAAATTTCCAACTTTGGCTATGGATTTAACAAAACTTACTAGGCCGATAATTTTACTTCTCTCTTCCAGGATCTGGAGAGATGCAGACAGAAGTGACCAAACCCATGAAGTCTTTTGAGATCTACTGATGAGATCCATTATACAGATCTAAGTAATACTGCATCACTAGGAATGTTTTTCTATTTTCATGACTGAATTCAGTTTTCAAAACTAAGGGCTTCCTCTACACTTACCTGATGTGTAAGGTAGGTGCTTAACTGTAGCATCCAATTGCGCCATTGCTGTACAGCCACACCAACCCTCTTTCCACTCTCAACTGTTATGGATCCCAGTGGGTAATTTGATGGAAGCTGTATTATTAGTT